AATATGCGTTTTTGCTGGCTGTAGCAGCGCTATAGCAGCGCTGCACAGCAAAAACGCATAAAAAACCGGAAGAAACAATTACAACATACATATATACACATTATATATACATATTATGTTATACTGTATTTATTTATGCTGTATTTATGCATATAAATAAATACAGTATAAATTATACATATTATAGTGTATTTATATATACATATACATAATCTACACAAAAAATCAGACGTACGTGTACGTATACATCACTATGCTGACCATTTGTGGTCCATGGTTAGTTGTTTCTGCCGTCCCATCATAATTTTTCTGGCAAAATTAGTAAATGGCTGTGCAGTTTAATGTGGCCAAAAGATAAATAAAATTTTTCAGTTGCATTTTTTAATTATTTTTAATGGAAATTAGTTACAGAAAGAAAAAACCAATCTTGCATAAAAAATTGTTTTTAATCTGATTTAATTTTCGCTTCACTGCCCTAAATCCAAGAGCAGTGTTTTCGAGCAGTGTGGATAAAAATTGGATTAATCAGATTCTGCGAAAATCACCACTCATCTTGAGCTTTGGATCGTAATGAAGCAACGCTGTGATGGGTTGTCAGGCGAATCAAAAACTAGCTCCAGACGATGATGCTTAGGTAAGCCTTACTCATCATCTCAACATCCCAAGCGATCCAGCATTACATCATAACCAGAACAAGCACGTCAAGGCACCGCTAAATAAACAGTAAATTTCAGTTTTAGTCCAGCACCTCCAACACAACCAGCCAGCTCAGCATCCAAAAAACCTTAAACAAAATTTTTCATCCGGCAAATTCTTTGCTTAAGAGTTAGCTGCAGAAGTGTTCCCTCATGTCGCGACTTCTTCCTTTCTTCTTTCTTGGTATACGTTTTATTACTGTTACTGTTATTATTGTCGTTGTTACTATCATCATTATTACCATCATTGTTGTTATCATTATTATCATTATCATTACTATTCTTATAACTACTGTAATTCCTCTTTCTTCGTTTATATCCATTAGGTAACTTTAAAACGTAATCTTAGACATTGGGATCTTTTTTAAAGTCACCAGCTCATTTCGACGTGAAAAATTTTTTTTGATAGAAAGGAGCTTTGAAGAAACTTTCACTGGAAAAAGCGAGGAAAAAGAAACATTCAATACTCTGCAATAGGTCTTGATTTCTGGCACAGACTGAGCTCATAGGAATCCAATAACAGTAACAGCAATTTATTGTCAAGCACTGCTTGAACGATGTCCATGTGACTGTATCCTAGCTTGACCCTAATTTCTCCGCACCTGAAGTTTGCTACTTTCTGGTTATTTACCCCTGAATAGGGATTATCTGCAATAGAGGAAACGGATTTTAGCTGAGATGGTACCAGTGCTTAAGAGGTTGAAGGAACGAGTGAATCGGGGTGAAAGTTATAAGCAAAAGGAGAGAAGGAAGAGTATTCTCATTTTCTTCAAAAGGCACGAGATAATTTGCTTTTCTCTCTTTCTAAAACTGCTGGTACTTTAATAAATATGTCATATTATTTTACTGTTAAGGGATATTTATGAGCATGATTAACTTAGTTTAAAAAGTTCTGATCCACGGTTCTTGCTAAACATCCTCGCACGTCCTCAATTCTTTAGCACCTTAGTCCAACTGTGGCACTTAAGAACCACCTAATTTAACATTTTAATTAGTACCTGCACCTCTCTCGTGGCTACTTTGTGATATCGGTATCTCTCCCCTCTTCCTGCCTCCCCCCTCCCTCCAAATCTTTTGTCTTCACCACCTCTCACTTTGTACTGATGATCCAAGCTATGCCACTACATTCAACCGTCCACCAACTAGCAGTATGCAGTCTCAAACTGTAGTATTCATAATGACCAACTGCTACCTTGGTCATTCAATTTCAAGAATTTTTGACCGCAACCAGCGAAGACAGAAAGCTAACTCAGCTACAATAAAACTTGTTCAGTAGCTCAATGAATTTGATCTGAATGTCGAAAACCTTAGTCTGTTTACCTATGCAGGGGTTTTTGCGACACAGCAAACGCGGCCACTGTGGAAAACACCGGTGGATTACTTATTGTATCGGACATATCGTAAATACCGAAGTTACTATCACCGGCCAGCAGCTAACGAGTTATTAAATGGATCATCGACAACAAATCAAAACCCATTACGAATCAATGTTCAAATGTCGGACGATAAGCAAACTGTGCCACTGCAACTGTCATACGATTCGCCTCAAGATCAGTTTGCTGTGCATAATAACTACTACACTTTTCTGAGCCACAACACCAGTCAACCCATCTCAAATTATTCAGAAAAAACGTCGAGCACCTTAGGATCTTATTCATACAGTAATACATCTAATCAGATGCCGGCAGTCAACGAATTAACGACTACACAACCAGTGCTTAGTAACGCGAAACAGAACGAAGTCAGTGAACCTTTTGTGTCATTTAAAATTTTTTAGAAAAGTATGAAAAATATTTTCGAAACCAAAAACGGTCGCTTTATTTCTTCGAAACCAGCAGTTACTATCAGAAATTTCAGGTTAATTATCAAGAAATCCTTCGAAATTACAAGAAAAGTATGTATAGCAGACTGAACAAAAGCAGTACAATAAACAGATACAATCCAAACATGTATGGTCAAACCAGGATAATACATGCAGATCCATCAGCGCAAGCTTTAACAGCTGCGCAGGCAAGCTATGATGCAAGGTAATGGGAATTATTATGATATTAAAAACGACTGTAGGAACCTAAACTTATAAAGCTGACGCGCAAGTCAGATTACAGTCTCTCAGTTATCATTCTGGACCTAATGTGGATTTTAAAACCCAAACACGAGTCATCCTGTAATATCTGAAATACCCTTTTCGCCAACTGACGTAGCACTTCGGTCGCTGGAGGAAGAAAAAATTACAGAAGCTGAGTCGCTCACTACTGAGTAATTTCGAAAGTTATGCAATGTTTGCGAAAAGCTCAGCAAAATCTGTCAGCTCCCAACATAGATAATAAATTACAGTTCTTATGAATTCTGATTTGCGCTGCTGACTTTCGGAGTGACATCCCGAAATGATAAAGATTTATTTCTTTTTTTCAAATTTCAGGAATAAGCAGATGCAGTACGGGTCGAACAATTCGCAAACACAGCCAAGCGGATTCACTGGGGAACCCTATTCACAGAGCTACTATCAAGCAACACTCATCAACCGATAACCGAATAAAATCAGACAGTTTGCTGTATGTATCCAGTTTTAAGCTAGATGAATAAAGCTCCTTAAATGTCTATTACATTTTAACAAACTTCAGTCATTCGACTTTTAAATTTATATTGCAAATTCAGGGAGAGCTGGACAAACACATTTCGCGCCCAAAACCTGGATGAAGAACCAGGCACGAGGAACATTTTCCCGGCTCTTCTCCCCCTCTAAATGATTTCTATCATTCTTGTTCAACTGCTTATCAACTAACTGCAGTTTCATATCAATCCTATTTTTTCCACGTTACCTACTTAAATCAGAAAAGTACTACCAAATATATAAGTGTTTGCTATGAGTTATGAAACTGCATAAAGGATCTCCCTAATGTCGACATACACTCGACCCTACCAACATTCCTTTGCCCTTCTTCGATTTCTAGCGAAATCATTTTACCTGTTCCCCTGGGTCGCGCGATGAGTTCGCCTCTTTGCCGTGTTTCGAACACATCCAGGATGTCACACCATTTATCAGTTGTTTGGAGGGGACGATTCAGTTTAATTTATCGCTCGATAGCGAGCTAGAGCTGTAGGTGTTTATCGAGAGGCCCACTCCAGCGGCAGTCTTTGAGTATCATATATCCAATAGCAACAAAAACGAGCAAAAATATTTTCCTACCAAGAAAATGTACAAGTGGCCACTGCTAAAATACAACTGCTACTTTCAGTAGGTGCATCACTGATTTTGTGCCTAAGCAGCAATGTTAGGAAAAGGCTGTTTGGATCACAACAGCTGCCAAGGGCTGCGCTTCCGTCGCTTCTGCCTGCTTTGTCACCATCATCCACATCGACAATCCGAGCAATCGTGGGAACTTCGCAGTCCGTCGGGATGATGCCTGTATTCACAGTACAATATTGTGAACACATGTGGCAACTGCTAGCTGCTGGGAACTGCTCTGGACAAAGTGCGCTTAAAAACTGCGCTATGGGTCCGTCGTTCGTGTCTTTCTGTAAATACACACGGCAACGGGTTTACTATTTCGAGCCGTCAAATCGAATTGAATGTTGTGTGGTCAGTAATGGTACTTTGTACTCTGACTGTAAAGACACAGTACTTTGTACCACCCTAACAAAAAGTGCCAGCCACTTAACAGATCAAGGTAAGCGTTACTCTCGACGCTGTATTTTGTATGCATCGGCCCTGGACGCAAACGTTACATATGAAGAACAGTAGTTTTACGTCACCTGCAATTACGCCTTCGATAGAAGGCATAACTGTAATATGTTCTGAATTTACTGCTCCAGAGACTCAGGAAGGAGTCTGGGTCTACTGCAAATTGTCTATGTTAGCTGGTGCGAGTGGGTGCCTAAATAAGACAGCAGTATCAACGTAGCCGAACAGTCGCAGCTTATTTCTGCGTTACGCTCCAGATCCAGCATCGATCGTGCTCATCTGCTTAGCCTAATCTTAGTAGAGCTGGAGCTGGATATTAGTGGCGTCACTCGGATCAGTCATAATATATGAAGACGTAATGCTCGCAAACTATGATAAATTGGATCAGCTGTTGCATTCGGTAATGTCTGCACCCCTCCTCACTCCTTCCTCTGAATTTGAACACCTGCTTCGAACTCTGAAGACCGCTGTTGGTCGACCAAAAACAGATAAGGCTAATTCCCGCCCTTTGATGACATCACGTGGATATAGTTGGTAAACAAGAATCAGTGTAGTTTTTGTGAAGTTGCATTTGCGCAACAACAAGTTATAGATATGCTGCGTTATCTTACTTCAGAATAACAGCGATGCACGGGTAATCAAAGCGAAAGCGTCATATTTACGTCCAGAACTAATAATTGCACAGTTCATCGGAGGTCCTTGCCGCTAATAACACTGTTTTTTTTTTCGACAGACGCTTCTAGCTAAAAGAATTGAGACTGGTCGGCAAGACTGCTAGAAAACATTCCCTTAAAATTTCAGCCTTTTAGCTCTCCAGGTTCCCGAGTCAGCAACTTACCCGTAAAAAAACTTTCATGAGCTCGTACATGAAAACCACGCATATACATCATCTGACTATAAAAGTGGGTGGTGGACCCCAGTTTCATGCTTAAACCGTTAGTCGGTGGGTTTCAGTTAGCAATTCAGTCATGAAATTGACGTTATTTGTGCCCGAAGTTTTTGGAAAGTTCCGCGTCGCACAGCATTTAGCAACATCTTAACCTGATCTACGTTTGTTCCACAGCTGATATTTCGCACTGAAACTCTAAACTGAAGAAGGTTGTGAATTATGTCGTGCTCCAGCTGGAACATTCGACGCCTCCAGCATTAGAAGCTATTTTTGAACAGCATTCCAACAAACACAACAGCAAAACCTTCAGTAACGGGCCGGAACTCTGCTTTCACCGATAGAGAATCTGATGTTCAACTTGAAAACAGTCTGTGCTTCAGCTATTTTATAAGGCACTGGCTATGCTACATGAATTAAACTGTACTCGTCTTATACTGCAGCTCGAATGGCTTAAAAAAATTTAAATGGATTTCCCGAAATTGGAACACAGTGGCACAGCACATGAAGCAGTTTTCGCATTTTTTGAAATAATTGTCCAGCGCATCGACTGCCGGTGTGAAGGTGTGTTTTTGCATAATTTTTGTGGCTAACGGCACTGTTTTTACCGGCAGATGCTTCAGGCTAAAAAAAATGGGACTCGACAACACGACTGTCAGAAAACGGCCTGAAAATTCCAGCTTTCTAACTTTTCAGGTTCCCAAGTCAGCAAATTACTCGTATGCTTAGAGAACCACCCATGACTAGAGGCTGGGTTTAAACTCATTAAGCCCTACGTGAACGAGAGGCAACCTCTTAAAACTGCAACTTTCTAGCTTTTCAGGTTTCCGAGTTAGCAACTTACCCGCTAAAAATTTTTACGGGCCTGTGCAAGAGCGTCCATATTAGAGATGGGGGCGCGCAAATGCATGCAGATTAAGTTCCCAGTTTCAGTCTTGTAGGTTTTTATGCGTTTTTTGCAGCTATGCAATGCAGAAAACTCATACTGACGAGGGGTTGTCTGTGTGTGTGTCTGTGTGTCCATGTGTGCGTCTATCACGGTTTTTCATCTCAAGACCTACAAAAGCTACAGGGCTGAAGTTTTGGGAACTTAATCTACATGCACGTACGGGCCCCAATCCCCAAAATTGGCGCCATTACCCGCGTGATACCCGCGTACGAGCCCGCCAGAATTCCTTTCGGGTACAAGCCCGCCAAACTCGGGGATCTGAGAAGCTAGAAAACTGAAATCTTAGGAGAATGTTCCCCGTCCAAGCGGATATTAGTGAGCTCAAACCCAGCCCACGGGTAAGCGTGGTATCCGCGTACGGGCCCGCCAAAATTTTTTTCGGGCAAGTTGATAACTCGAGTACCTCAGATGCTAAAGGACTGTAATTTTAAGAGGACATACCCCGTCCGCCTAAGTTTCGTTCAGCTCAAACCTAACTCTCGAGTATGCGTGGTAAACACGCACGGGCCCGTGAAAATTTTTTTCCAGTAAGTTGCTAACTCAGGAGCCAGGGAAGCTAGAAAGCTGAAATTTTAAGGGGGTGTTTTCTGACAGTTCCGGCGACCAGTCTTAATTTGTTTAGCTAGAAGCATTTGCCGAAAAAGCCAGTGCCGGTAGCAACAAAAACTGCGGGGAACTATGCAAAAAACGCATCTTCGTACGTGCAGCACGTGCGTTGGCGAATTATCTAGGTCTCGAGATGAAAAATCGGTACAGACAAACATACAAACACAAACAGACAACCCCTCAACAATATGCCTTTTTGCGTTCCAGATGCAAGAAACGCATAAAAACTGATGTCGGATTTTGTGGACTTTGCTGTGCACAGCATAGAATGTTCAGCCACCGGAACCGTGAGCTTTGTTCCTCGTACTGTTGCAGAAAGGTTCACGAGTTTTCTCTGGACCATAACATAATGGCAAAAATGATTACTGTTGTGAATGCGGATTACAGATAAGTAATCTGACTGGTTCAGATGTATGCCTGGACGAGCGTGTATGTGCGAATACGACATGAACTAACATGATAACGATTTATGAGGTGGTCGATCAAAATGTAGAACAATACTGAGACAACATAGAACCACCTCGCCTGAGCAGGGCCTCAGAATAAGTACAGATAAAAAAAAGCAGGTGCGCGATCATCTTTGACATTCGAGATCATCGCACATCATTGGAGTGCAGC